TTGTTTTTCTGCATTTATCTCAACGATTTACCCACGGCACCGACGTTTTGCAACCTAGAATCGTATGTGGATGACTCAAAGCTATTCATGTCATTTCCTCTCGTTGAACTTGCTGCTGCCATTGAAAAGCTCGAACAAGACCTTCACAGTGTAGCTCAATGGTGCTGTGAGAACCATCTACTTATCAATCCCGAGAAAACTTAACTCCTTTTCCTCGGTACCAGACAGATGTTAAGCAGGTTACCAGAAGACCCTAGAGTGGTATTCTTAGGTAAAACACTGAGGCCAACAGACTCTGCCAAGGACTTTGGAGTCTTTCTTGACCCCGATCTGACCTACGATCACCATATTTCATGTGTAGTGTCATCTTGTTTCGCAAAGCTTTGCCAAATAAATAGAGTCAAAAGGAGCTTCGACAAGGAAACACTAGAGTTGTTAATAACGTCATTAGTCTTTAGTAAGATGCTTTACTGCTCATCTGTATGGTCAAATACTACACTCCAGAATTTAAACAGATTACAATCTATTCAGAATTTTGCCAGCAAGATCGTAACAAACTCTAGGAAGTTTGACCACCTAACACCTTTGCTTCGAGAGCTAAACTGGCTTCCTGTTAAAGAACAATTATTCTATAGAGACTCCGTTTTGACCTTTAAATGTCAGAACGATCTTGCGCATCAATACTTAACGAGCAAGTTTACCAAGCGCTCAAATATACATACTCGTAACACTCGTACACGGAACTCTTTGCAGATTCCGCTATACAGAACGGCTATAGGCAAGCGCACATTTTCCTACAGAGGGGCCTACACATGGAATAACTTGCATCATGAACTTAGGCAAAGTGCGTCATTGTCATCTTTCAAGCGAGCCCTGAAAGACACACTATTGAGGCAGACATTTCCTTCATAAGCTCTAGAATTTAGTAGAATACCATCATAAATTGTGATTTCGAGTGTTTATTGTCATTTTTGCTTTTATAAATTGTAAATAATTTGTAAATAGTTCCGGAAAAACCTCACGAGAATGTTACTATTAAAGTTATTATTATTATTATTATTATTATTATTATTATTATTATTATTATTATTATATAGTGCCAATGACAGTGACACAGAACTCCTATCCAGTGATTCCGAATACGACTCTGATTCTCGCACAAGTACTTTCGAAAACAAGTCTGATTTGGATTCAGATGACTCCGAAACGGATGGCTTTGTTAAACATTCATATGAGGTACTATTTGCTCCAGACGACGACATCCAACAAGTAAGCGTACGCTTACAGTAGCATGACAATATAAAAGGTATTTACTTAAAGGCATCTATGGTAATGGTGGCGGTGAGGGGTGGGTGTGTGTGTGTTTGTGGGTAGGTTAGAACGTTTTTTGTTTTGTTTTGAGAGGGGGCACTCTCTAAGTTTTTGCTAGATAACTCTAGTTTTTGAACCCCCCACCTCCTGATAATTATTGCACAGTCCCTTACGGCGATTTGGGAATGTTGTGGAATTTCCTCTGCAGTATTTAGTTGTGATAATCAAGTCTATCAATTACCTTTCCTTCAGGTTTCTTTGAAAATAGGGTCATCTAGTGTGTCGTGTGGTTATAATGCGCCCTCGGTCAAAAGGATTGGCGTGACAAGGCCAAAGGTCATCAGCGTGGCCATGGGAGGCCTGACAATCAAAAAGGCTTATGACAGGATTTGTCTTGAAGACTTCCGCCAAACGTGTTTTGGGCGCGTAGTTGGGGTTTGGGGGAGGAGGGGGTCCATTGCCATTGGCTTTCTGATATTTTATGGTTCAAAGTTCAATGTCGGATGATTTGGGTGTCATCCCGAGTGTAATGAGTTAAGAAAATATAACTGCGTGCTCCAGCTTTCTAAAATGTCGAAGAATTGTATCAATGCATTTAAAAAACAAAACAGTGACAACACGTAGTGTAGGGAGGAACTATTTTAAACAAGGAGACATTTCTCATTGACGAATTCAAGGAGAGAGGAACCTCGCGCTCTGTTATTACTTTTTACCTCATCAATAGCGAAAAAAAAAAGCCTTCGATCGAGAACATTACTCGAGTAAAGGTTAACATTTCGAGTTTCATTTAAGCTAGGTTCATTTGTCTTTATGCCGGGTTTTATTTATTTATATCCCTGTCATACGCTGTTACGATATTCTGTCCTCTATTGTTAAAAAATGACTCATCTTTACGGCTTAAACAGTTGTTTTCATGATAACTGTGACAAAAAATAATAATAACAATAAAAGAAAAAGAAGGAAAAAGACAAGGAAAAAAAAGACACATATCCGACGAAACTCGAACCCGCGACCTTAAACCCAACATTATGGTTTTACCACAAGGCCACGAGGGCGCTCTCGCGTTAATGCTGCAAAAAGCTTGAATTTAACTAAAACTGACGTCATCATCACCGTGAACACTTCCAAAGTGGTTTAAACATGCAAAATGTTTTCAAAGAAACCTGAAGGAAAGGTAAGTGATAGACTTGATTAACACAACTAAATACTGAAGAAGAAAGTCCACAACATTCCCAAATCGCCGTAACAAATTACAAGAGTGGGTATTGCCCTTAGCGGTTAGCATCAGTCGTTTTAGTCCATGGGGTCTTCGTTTTAGTCCATGTGGTCTTCGTTTTAGTCCAAGGGGTCTTCGTTTTAGTCCATGGGGTCTTCGTTTTAGTCCATGGGGTCTTCGTTTTAGTCCATGGGGTCTTCGTTTTAGTCAAAGGGGTCTTCGGTTTAGTCCATGGGGTCTTCGTTTTGGTCAAAGGGGGTCTTCGTTTTAGGCCATTGGGTCTTAGGTCTTAGGTCTTCGTTTTTGGGTCTTCGTTTTAGAAACACCCGAGCAGTGCTATTAACTGAGTTGTGATGCTATTTTCTCACCAAGTCACGAAATTTTAATACAGGTCACGGAGGTGGAGCTATATTCAATACAGATATTTGTTCGCGGGGGAAAAATTGAACAAAATAGAAAACGAACGTAAGAAAAACTAATTTATTCCTTCGCTATTGCTTGCAGCAAATGAATGCCACGGGATAATGGCTAACGTCCACCATCTTGTTTTGTCTCTTTGGTAGTACCCAGTTGTTGGAAAAAACGTGCACGCGACAATCCCGAAAGGTAATATGGGATATGATCATTACACTGTTCCTGACACTGTAGCTGTCGAAACTTATTTTGTTGCTTTCTTTTAGCACTCGCCAACATACGTCCGTGGCCTCTCGTGCCATTCTTTCAAATTTCTTTAAAAATTAGTGAACTCAAAACCACCCACAATTCCTTTCGGTATTGTCGCGTGCACTTTTTCCGACAACCTTTCTCGAAATAGCTGTATTCAAGGTGGCTGCTCGACCTGTCCCCTCAAACAATCCCATAAGTGCCCGCGCGCTTAGTTTGGATTCCAGGCTATCGCTCTTTTCCGGAGTGAGCTATAGACGCCCACTCCCAAATAAACGCCTTTTATCCGATAAACGCCCCCTCTACGCCGTTTAAATTGTCTTAGACGCCCCTCTCTAATAAACTCTTCTTATGAGAATTACTCCGAATTACAAAGAAATTGGGAAAAGGAGCTAAATCATTCAATTCATGTATTTACTTTCGGCGGAGCTAAATGTAGTGGCAGTAACAGAGAATGTAAATACTTTCCTATTGGTATGAACGCACGTGAGCCGCTATAGCGTTAATTGACTCTATTGTTATTAGGTATATAAGGTTTTGACAGTTGTAATGTATTCATCTCAGCTCTCGAACTATCAACTTTTATTTTTATATCTTACTTTATTCATCTATCGATTGATTTTTACCTTTAACCCCAGAGCTTGTGCGCATCGGCTGCGGAATACGTTCCCAATTTTTTCCCATTGGGTTTTTTGGGTTTTCGTATCAGGCGGCGCACGTGATCAGTTTAGCCTGAGTGACATTATTTAGGAATATTTGTATACCATTCTTTAGTTATGATGTTGAACTTTGTATGTTATTTGGACGGCATTAAACACTCAGGCTCCATAGTTCGAGCTGAACACACATTCCCGTCTCTTAGTCGTGAATATAAATAGGAAATTCAGTTTCTTGCTTGATTTTTAAGGCTTTGTGTATTTCATCTTGTTCAATGTTAAGTTGATAGTAAGGATAGACTAATGCGGGGACTAACGACGGCAACACAATAGCAAGAATTCTGACATCAGTGTTGGGATTGAAAGAGAGATATGGATCTCTAGAAGTATCAATTGATGGAGTTGATGTCCCGCTACTGTGAAACTCTCTTGATCTTTTCGCCGAAAGCATATCTTAGATTTGTTGAGCTTGTTGAATTTAGGAGAATAAAGGCTTCTCTCTCTTTTAACGCCTCCTATCTATTAAACACCTCAGCTTGGACCCCTAAAATTAAATGGACGCCCCGAGAGTTTATTAGGCTATTTAGGGTAATCAAATATGACGTCATCTGCGAAGCCTACTTCGTACAAATAGCAGCATTTGGATGAAAAGGGTTCTCACAAACAAACAACAACAGTAGGACACTAGGCCTATGCATTACGTACACTTTTCTCAAGTTTGATTTGTGGCAGGTGGTCAAATCATCACAAAACATTTTTGAGTTAAAAAAATAGTTGGCAACTCGTGCTATTAATCAATCATGTTTTCGTAGTGCCGCTAGCCTGAGATCCCTATTATTCTTCTCTGTCTAGAAATAATCATCTACCTTCAACTGAAAGACACACGGTCTATTGGTTAAAGTAGCCGGGAAATAAAGATCATAAACGAAAGGACAGCATTTTTTAAGTGTAACCGCCATTTTATTTTTCATTTTAATTCATCTATTTTCAATCTCTTAACTCAGCTTCACTTGACGAGCAATTCTCACTGTAAGAAGTGTGCACTCCTTCCTTGCCCAAAATCGATAGTTTGATTTTTAATATGTCGTATTATTTAATTTATTGAATGGCATTACAACAAAGTGCTCTACTCTATTTGACTTTTGGGACGCAAGTCACCTAATTTGCTTTTTCTTGCAAAGGATAACTGGGGCATACTTCCAATAACGTGTAACATCGCAAGGTAAGTCGTTCCACTTGCCTCCTACGCCTTTTATCGAGCCAAACATGTTTCCACACTTTTCATTTCCACCAGAATTGTCTGGCTGGCGGCTTGCCCAAGCCGTGTAACCTTTCGCCAGTGGAGTGTCATCAATCCAATAGAACTTGTTGTCCGCCTTGCGAACAAAACCAAGCCACACACCCCAATCGGTGATGGTTTTCTGTTTCTTGAGCAAGGTGAATACGAAGTTATTCTCATCGGTTGATTTTATTATAGCGAGGTCTCCTCCAAGCATCTGACATGTTCGTCGAGCATCGCTCCATTTTAGGGTTCGAATGTTGATGATGAGGTAACCGAAGTTTCCGTAGCGGACCCAACCATCTTGAGGACAAACTGAAACTAGAACATATTTCCTTAGTATTATCTCATTGAGCCTCGTGATATCAGCCACTCTTTTAATATCAAGCCTATAATTTTCAAATATATTAAATGTAAATGACTTACCTGTTGGGGTCGATTTCGGCTCATAAAGAGAGTCAATTTTGGATTTTATCTGCATTAAAGTTTTTCGATCAGCGCTTCCGAAGCCCCAGTTGTTGATGTTAAAGGTTTGGCCCATCGGTTGACGTGGTTTATCACTTGTGTACATCGCTGAGTCGGAAACGTCGCTTTGAGGTTTGTTTTTTGCAAAACAACTAGGAACAATGAAATCGGTAAGGACAAGGAAGACGAAATTCCATTTTCTGAAAGTCATTGTTGAATCAGTGTTTTTGGATCAAATGAAAAGGTAGCCTTTATGTGTACACCTCGAGGATGTGTAGAATACTCGTGTTTGATGACTCATCAGAATCTTTTAGTGAACGTGATCGCTGACATATCAATAAGTTGAACAAGAAGAAATTTCGCGTTGCAGATTATCAGGTCATTGACCCTGCCGAAAAATAAATATTTTGTAATGAAAGGTATCCTTGAGTTATATTAATTATTGGCAGTTTGAATGTCTTTTCCTGGATTCGCTACAGAATTTGTCACACTGAATATGTAAATCAAGTTTGAGTTATACTTACTATCTTTTGTGTCATCAAAATAATAGATCGAAATAAAAGAACACTCCAAACACATGTAAACACTTGTAAACTAAAACAGGTTTTCGAAAGACTCGACGAATTATTGTGCAGTGATTAGTACAGTTTCAGTTTGGAGTTAATCTATAAAGCCGGTACGCTCTTTTTTCTAGTATATGAAGTATGATTCTCTTGAGTAGAGACCTCTTTTAAAGTGAGATATTCTTGCTTTCACTGCCGTCGGGAGGTCAATTTCTGTTTACAGTAAAAAGACAAACATGCCAAAAGAACACCATACATGATCATTTCATTAAGAGTAGAGCACGAATTGTTGGGCACTGCCTGAGAGACCGTCTTACCGTGTTATAATAATTGGTCGAAAAATGGATTCGCCCAAAATTGCTCTTGGCAAATATGTCGCAATTTGAAAACTGACGGTTAAATCTGGCGCAAACCTGGCCGGTAAATGCCACATTTACTTCCTTATTTACAACCAACCCCATGTTAATTGGTATGCAAATGTGGCATTACCGTTTTTGCTCCAGATTTACTTCTCCGTTTTTAAGTGATCTTTGGTCCATTTTTGCCATTAGGGAATATTTGCAAATCTATTTTTTTTGAAGCGTTCTTACATGGGTCAAACCTCGTTAATTGGGACAATGACGGGGCCATGAAAGTAGAAAGTGATCGTTTAGGCGGGGTGAAATTAGACGAACTTTCCTTGGGTATAAAGCAAACTGTCCGTAACGAGTTGTCCCAGGAGCCTCCTGGTTGTCCGTAAAACTGGGTTTGAAAGTTGTTTTCTCTTAGTTAGAGTGTCCATGTCATGAGGCAAGGAGATTACTGTTTTAGGTCAATTCTGTGCCTTAGGCTCGTTTCAAACGTCGTGCAACTGCCGTGCCGAACTCAATTGATCGAATTAAATTCGACTTTAGCACGGCAGTATGTCGACTTGGTTTCAAACGTCGCGCTACTGCCGCGCCGAACTCAATTCATAAATTATAAATACATTAGAATACATTTAAAAGTTTGCTAAACCGTTTCTTTATTTCTGTGTTTTGTTTTCGGCAACAGCCGTTCTATTCGACTGAATTAAATTCGACGTCTGAAACCAAGTCGTGCTAGTGTCGTGCTGCAGTCGAGCTACAGTCGAGCCAACTCAGGTATATTAAGGCATGGTCTATATCTAAGAGCTTTAGATGAACGACGAAAAATTATCACTCAACTACCTTCAGCCTAGTAAGTTGTTTCAATCCAGTATAATGTGGAATACTATTGTTAAAGCTCGCTATCAATTCTTTGCAAAAGAGGTAAAAAGAATACAATATGACCAACCTCGTGTTATGAAGCTTCTTTAATAATCATAAAGATTACCCTTTGTCGGTCTTTAATGTACAGATAATCCTAAAGATCTTAGCGCTTAAAATTTATTCATTATGAGCATTACTTTGAAGTCACGAAGAAAGTTAATCGTAAACCCGCAGTATCAATCATTTCCGCTTGAATCTTAAAATAACATGAACCTTGATGTGATCATTACATTATATTATTATTTCGGAGTATCTAGATCATTACGATTGTTAAAAGTGGCCTCTTTAGTTTCTGCGGTTGTTAATCACTGTACACGACAAATTTATTTCGTAATTATACGTTCCTTGTGTAGCAAAGCTTCATGCTAATGTGCGAATGTGCGTGTGTTTTAAGGAGTGAAAATATGTTTCTAAGACTCTTTATGGGAAAACAGCCAAAACCTTTGGAATGTGCGAGGACCTAAAAAGGCTCGAGCTAGTAAAGAACGCCAATGTTTTTTTTTTTTGGAGCTTACGTCAAAACAAAAGGGCAGAGCTGTTGTGTTACTCACCAGCGAAGAGAGAATTATAGTGAAAGAAACTCTCTCGGTGCAAAATGATAGGTTTAATTGTTTCAAAACTAACGGCTGTCTTTGGAAACCCCTGAGAGATTTTTCTGTTTAACTGTTCAATTCAACTAAAAACGAGTGAAATTTGGGAGGACATGAAAAGAAAAAATGATACACTTATGGTAATGTTGCAGAGGCAATCGATTAAACAAAAGAAAGGTTAAGCTATTTTGGCGATTATCGAATCCTGGATCATGCTTGAGCCGCATCCTGCTAACGAATGAAGTGTTACCCACCAATGTGCGGTTCACACTTGCCAAAGAGTGTCACAGAAACCTATCCGATATTAAACATTCCACTTTCAAGATGGGCGCTGTGAACAGATGCCCTATTCTATGTCGGCCCTCTTCCAACCCTTTAAGAACCCTCACCCCCCACCCTCCACTCTCCCAACTCCCGCACCCCTTCCGCTACCTATTTTCCGGGGCTCCCACCCCCTTGTCCTTCCGACGAGCTTGTAGTGTTTTTGTTATGTAAATTTTCGATCTTGCTATTACTTCCGTGGAGGTGTAGTCGTCCTGGATGGGACGTCAATATATTAAGTCCTCAGTGTAGTAATGAAAACCGACCTACAGGATGACGAGCATCATCACGCATGGTACATGCATCTTTCTGGTCTGGTCAAGTAGAGCTTTAACCACGCCTTACATTGTCTTATTCAGATCAGGCAAGTTTTTAAATAGTTGTCCCCTATAACTTGCTTTTCACCCCAATCACTGCGTTCAAAAAAAGTTAATAAATCACCCAATTAGTTTTCAACGTGATATAAGCTTGTTTCAATCTATACTATGTTAGAATGTTTTTGTGAAAGCTTCAGGTTGTTATCGATTTTTTGTCCTTTAATGATGTAAGACCAGCCTTTTGATATAAAGCTACTTGACGAATTATTAAGGTAAGCCCCACGGCTTACTCAGCTTACGCTGTGTCTGTGTTCTTTACACCCGTAATCCGCAAAAATCCTCGCGTTTAGTATAAGCAATGCTCTTAGATGTTATTTACAGTCAAACCAGGTCAAGCGTTCCCGTCGCTAACGAACTAATGAATTCATTCACGGAAAAATGATTTCGTTTGTTGATTCAATAATCCATTCATAAAATGAACAATCCAATAGACATATTTAGCCTCGATTCCATAATCGAATGTTGATTCAATTACTGTTTTTTGAAAAATTACACTTTCCACAAGTTGACCTCAGAATTTTGTTTTTTCCTCTTTTTTTTTCTGAGAGTCGAGTGCTGGCGAGTTCTGAAGTTCAAACCCAAACAAACTGTTACATGTACGCCAGTTTGCTACCAATAATCAGTGCAACAGACCTAGGCCTGACCTCTTAGAAAACGCGACGGTCAAACTGAGGTCAGTGTATGTGCGGTGATTGGTGGATTTCGATCCTCGGCCTTTGTCAGTTTCTTTGCGTTTGCGGTCTGTCTATTCTAGCTGTTATTTTGATTAAAGGCAATTAAAAACGCAATCGTAAACGGCAGGAAAAGGGAAGCAAATACGATTGAACACAACAGACAAGAATAAAGAACAGGTAGATTTTGTTCATAAACCAAATCAACATTTGATTATTGAATCGAGGTACAATTTGACCGTTGGATTATTCATTTTATGAATGGATTATTGAATCAACAAACGAAATCATTTTTCCATTAATGAATTCATTAGTTTGTTAGCGACGGGAACGCTTGACCTGGTTTGACTGTAATATGAGCTGCAGTACTTTCAAACGATATGAAGAGAGATAATCGTAAAGATATCAATCATTCTCATTCGAGTCTCAAAATAAACATGAACCTTGATCTGACATAACACAAATGCCATCACGACCAACGACAGAACGAAGGTTTGCAACGGCATCGAACAAAGTCAATCGCTTATTCAACAGTAGAGTATACGTACCGACACGGACAATAAGTTCTCCAGTAGGTGTGATAGGTATAGGTGTTACGGGTTCCGGGATTGGTTTCCTTATTTGAAGGCCGGGATTCGGTGTTTGAAGGCAAAATCGGGTTTGAAAGTATGCACTGGATGCGGGATGCCGAAAAAAAAAACCATCGGGATTACGGGATTTGCATCGGGTTGGGATGACGGGATTGAAGAACCCTATTGGGTATCCCCTAACTGCATGTCCTGACTACATGAAACAAAGGCTTTTGGAAACTCTTGTTACGGATATATATTTCCCTCTTAAAAAGGTCTGAGGCGCGAACATGGAAACACATGTCCATGCCTCAGCTGGGAGGTCGCCCTCACCCGTCAATTCTGTTTTCCCCAAAGCGAAAGAGAGTTAAAAGGAACCCTCTCGGTACCCAGGGTATTGAGAGCATTACCCACCGGATTAATCTCTATCCACAGGGAATAAAGCAGTTGTTTTTCCTTATACTCAAGCTTATACTTTATATCCGCTGGGAAGTGATTTGTGGATTGCCATCCACCCTTTGAACAACTTAAGGACCAGTTAGGATAAGCTTGCGAAAGCTGACGTATTTCCAGTCGTCGCTTCCCTCCACTCGATGTCTTTTTGAGTTTTAGGGTAGACCCTTTAAACTGGCCAAGTTTCATTGAAATCAGAGAGATAGCATGAAGCACACCTGCCTGCTGGGGGACCCATGGATCAACCATCCATCCATATTCTTCAAATATTTTCACATCTTTTACAAGTTATATTCTGCCAATTCCGTTATTTTATTTGACTATTATAAAACCTTAAACCTTCTTTTATTAGGGCTCTAAATAATTTAAAGCAAGAACAAAAAGTCTTTACTTACAACTTCCTCAATGCACTTTATCAAATTCAATCTTCACGTCATCGCCAATTAGCACAAATGGAGCCCGTTACTTTGGAGATGAAAAACTGGTCCGAATCTCGAAGTCGTTTCATGGCCTTCTGGAAAGCAGCGCTAGTCCTCTTTCCACTTCTCTGGTGTCGATAGAAACATCTCATAATCACCATTGTGGCTTCCTCAGAAATTTTCCAGTGTATTACCAGCACAAAAAGAGCACCAGCAAAGAAGAAAGCACATGCCATGCCAACCACACCCTCAGACGATACCTCTCCTTGAGCACTATGGTAGCAACTTAGCTCAACCAGCCTCGCGCCCTCAGTTTAATATAGCTTGGTGCCCTCCTCCATAGCAAGACTAGTCTTGAGTTGCCAACCGGGGTTTGAATCCAATGCAATTTCACCAGTTTCCTTTTTTCCGTGTGCTGCGATGTGCATCACTGACCACATTAAAGCCACTGGTTCCATTCTCCGAAGCACCTCTTGTTTGGTTGTAATTTATCCCGTAAGTGGTTGAACGTTGAGAATTTCGTTTAATTTTTTTCTTCGTAATTGGGCAACATGGAGCCTTTTACAACATATAATTAAAACATACAAAGATTGGAAGGCATCTTTTTATTTATGATACTAAAGCACATTATATGATTTAACCCTTATCACCTTAACGTTAGGTGGATCATTTTCCCCTAACTCGCCTTAACTCGCAAAAACTCGCAACTGATAGTCAAGAGCAATTTTTCCTTATCTCGCCTCAACTCACCTAATATTGCACTAGCTCACACAATCTCGCGGCGAGCTAAGGTCCCAGAGTAGGCCTGTACGGTGATAATCCTTGCCAAGATTGCCATATGCACGTCCTTCTCTGGCCTTGTCGCCTACTTCCTTAGCAATGTTCGGGGCTTGCTTGTGGTACTCTAATGCTTGTTGGTAGTCGCCAAGGGTGTGATAATCCTTGCCGAGATTGCCAGAGGCACGCCCTTCTCCTGCCCTGTCGCCAACTTCCTTAGCAATGCTCTGGTATTGCTTGTTTTACGCAAATGCTTATTGGTTATCGCCATGGAAGTGATAATCATTGCCGAGATTGCCATAGGCAATTCCTTCTTCGGCTCTGTCGCCGACTGTACAGAACCCACCTCCTCTCAGTAAAAATCTTATTTACTGTTGCTATATTTTGTCTTTGAGCTTTTAGAAAATTTTTAGGTTGGTTTAACGATCCTGTGTTATCCATCGATTGATTTAAAGGAGTAACGAAGGTTTTCGCAGTTTCCAACGTGAAATGCATGGGCTCTCTACAGATCCTACCAAGCGTCTAGGCTTGGGATGCCTGTCTAGCAACATGCCAGTCTTATGTTTTCGATACATGGGATAGGAAAGAATTAAAGAAAACACTTTAAATCCGGTAAATCAACTGCAAAGGAGGCTTTTACACCTCTCGAATACTGTTCACTTTATCTTGGCAACTCCTCGCCGCCTCACCTCACCCCTCCCCCAGTATTCTCCTCAAACTTTGACCGAGTGGAGCTTGGGATTAGGAGAAACCAAGATGGCGGCTGATAATGGTTGTTCAACTTGAAATCCAAAGCGCAAGGATTCTGCAATAACCCGGCTTGGTCTTTCAGTTTCAGTGGTTTATTAACTTCTGGATCACTTAACTTTGGTAAAAAGAAAGTACTTTATTTTGAACAAAAGAACCTGTGATGACAAAGCACTGATCTTGAATCGCATGGAGAATATTGATCACAGTGCAGGTAAGATGTGACGGTTTAAGCTTACAAGGAAATTTTATAGCTAACGAAACTACATAGTAAGTAGCTTAGTTAAGACTTTTAAATTATGTAGAATTGCTTGGGTTAAGAGAGGTGAGCTAGGGAAGGATGGGTAGTCAAAATGCTTTGTGTTGAAGCTAGTGCTAGAAAAAATGTAAAAATACACAGTTTTTATGGGAGTTAATGAAGGCCCATGGGAAAAACAACATGTTGCGATAATTTCGGAGTTCCAAGTGAAAAGTCTAGAGTCAGACGACGAATTACAGTCTAGATTACCAGAAGAACGTCTAGAGTCTAGCAAAGGGCGAGAAATGTGTAACCACGTAAAGTCTAGAGATGAAAGTCTAGAGTCCAGCCAAGATCGTGAGTTGAGAACGAAAAGTCACGAGTCAGGAAGGTGGTGTGACAGAAGATGGTTGATCTTAGGCGAGCCCCAAAATGACATTTTTCTTGGGACAATTGGCAGAATACTCCGAATGCTTGGCAATCACTTGAGGAAACTGTCCATCATTTAGCACAAATGTGCTGTAGCTACTTGGTCTGGTTCCGAATTGTGCCATAGTGATCCTTCGAGTGCCCACATTTTTTATCCTGAAAATCCTGATAACGCAAGACTGGCACCACCGACCACTCGCGATCACAGTCCCTATCGACCTCGAAGAGTTGCGGAGAAGACGAGTTTCTAAGTCGGAAAAGGAATCACCCCACCATGCATGACTGCATTCGATTTCGAAGAGCATTGCAGTGTGGAACTCATGAACAGCCCGCCAGGTAAATTGCATAACAAGATAGATTAAACCAATGAAGTGATCGAGTCTGGTGTTCCTTTCCGTGTCCGAGATTGATGGCAGTTGGAGAATAGAGGCGTAACCTGCAGAAAACTCTGCAATTGTGAGCTCCTTATATCCCTTGTCCTGGGACAAGTACACTAGGCCTACCTGGCTGTGAGGCAATAGTTGGGGAAATATCACCCGACTAGTTAATTTAATAGTCTCCCCTGCTTTCAAACACGGGTTACCTTGAGAGCCGCGAGTGGGTGGATTCTCGACATCATCCGAACTGCTAGAAAAGAAGCCAAGGTGCTCCAATTCTATGGACACGTGTGCATTGAGAGCAGGATTGGCTCGAAGGGTCTTGATGATAGGATTAGGGTTTGAAAGAGGCTGTTTCCGTTTTTGCAGTAGTGTGTTCTGTTGCTGTAGGGTGATTAATTTGGCCTTTAGACGAGCTACTTCTGTCTCCCATTCAAGAGCTTCATTCTTGGCTCTGACACATGCAATTTATTGTGGCGGTTAATTAGAGCAGCTACGTCTTCTTTTGGGGCACTTGAATTCATCTGGGTCCCCGGAAAAGTAGAGGGCAGAACCGGAGCCGCGGTGGCTGGTACTGAAAACTGTCGTGAAATTCCCCTTGGTCATTGTCAACATTTTGCCCTTCATGCATTGCTGCGTAATCACTAGGAATATGGTCTCACAACTTATAAAACATTGTTAAGGCTAAGACAGATGAAAGGCTAAAAAAGGCTAAAAGCAGAAAAGCTAAAACTATCGCTATAAGTCACACCTATAAAGCACAATAGGAGAATAAGCAACGCTATCAGAACTAGACGCATATGCTAGAGTGTAACTTGAGCTAACAACGTAATTAACACGTGAGCGAAAAAGGCGCCAATAGCAGTTGGGAAATTAACTGTTTTGAAAGGCCTTCCAAAACGAAACTATAAACCTTTGCTTTCTCTAATATACTACTCCAGATCTCCTGCCCCCTTTTTGCGCTCCTTTCCTGGCCTTTTTTGTTTCCATTAATATATTCCTTTGACTCTAGTACTCCACTCTTTCTTTTTTTCCTTGTTTCCCTTCTCAATTTTGTTTTTATTGTCATATTCCATCATATTCCATTCAACACTTTGTTTTTATTTTTGCCCCATTTTGTTAGATTTGTTATTACCTGTACCACCTTTTTACCCTTTCCTTGTTTCCTTTTTATTATTCCACTTACTAATGCCACCTCACTTTTTTCGAAGCAATGTCTGCACCATGTCTATCCACTACCTTATACCTCTTGGTGCCATTCTTCTTTTATCTTATCACCAATATTCTCCCCCTTTTACCTCCTCCCCCGTCTTTCCTTTATTTGCTAGTTTTTTCTGGGTGCAGACCTGCCCAATGGAAATGAAAACAGGCATAAAGACTCTAAGGTCACAGGTGAGGTCTGTACCCTCCCCTTCCTACCCAGTCCATACTTCTGGAAAGATAACCACTGGACCTTGTCACTGCCTGAGAGACTGTCAGCAGGTACCTACAATCTCGGACAAAAAGTGTTCAGAATTTTGCACATTCTTACCTACAGAATGCCTATCCCATGGATTTGGTACCACTGTGGTCCCTCCCCTTGCCCCATACTGGTCAAAGTTGTTGAATCGGAATCAGAAATGATCTAGCCGGACTTCAACATTGCTTTTTTGGGGGGAAGGGGGGAGTATTTGTAGTTGTCGGTGCTTTCAAGAGCTTTATCTTAAAACTAGACATTTCTCAACATAATTTTGTACAAGATTGTAGCCACTGAGCTGTTCTTTTTTGCATGACATTAGTCAGATCAGTGAAATGGTTGTGTGCTGCCTTTTTCAGCTTCATCTGAGAACACTGGAACATCTAACCCATTGCAGATGTCAGAAAAAAGGCAGCACTTTCTCTTCAGCTATTTCTATAAGGCCCAGTTAACAAAACAGACTTTAGATACTCTTTGACAAAACCACCTTCTGTGGGTCAGTCAATATAAAATATTGTCCAGCCCTCACCTCAAAGCATTGTTTGCTGTTTGTTGAGAGGGTCAAGGAGGCTTACAGCATATTATAGTAGAAAGCGGGTTATAATCTTAAAATCAACACTTTATAAACAGATCTGAAATCCCCTGAGTCTGTTAAAATGCAGTTTAGACCTCGTTTAAATAATGGGCTTTAAGTGTTGATTTGGCCAGGAATGGAACCCTTTGACACACTCTTGCTAAATGTAAGACCCAGACAGAAAACCAGGGCCAATATATCAAAAAACTGGGCTAATCGATCAGTTCCATTGTGCTATTCAATACTATCCCTTTTTATTTTACATGTGGCTGTGACTCTTTGATTTCCACTTCTTTTGATGAGTTTTGTTTGGTAACAGCTGTAAGCCTCCAGTCTAGAGAGGACCAACAGATTAGATCAGTTCTTGATGATCAGTTGCTTCTCTGAAGAGCAACACAGAGAAGACAGAACCAAAAGGTGAGTCTTACATTAAACAGTTATTCTTCATGTACCTTGGAACAACTTCAGGAGACTTGTTGTAAAATGTAGCTACCTGTTTGCATTGTACGCATCTACATACCTAAAAAAGTTCAAAGTAAAAAATTTAAATACAGTGGAATAAAAAGCTCTAATGATAAAGAAAACCCAGTCAATATGACTGGCATAAGTACAGCTGTAAGATTACTGACGTATCTAGAACGACTTGAATGACTTGGGTGACTATGGTGACTAGGATGTGTGATAATTATAGACCAATATCAGTTCTTCCAGTATTAAGTAAAGTTTTTGAAAAATGTATTTATAATCAACTTATATCTTATTTTTCGTCTGAAAATATCATTACTCCTACTCAATATGGGTTTAAGCCAGGCAGTACCACTGTGGACTGCTTTGTTGATCTCATTGAAGAAATCTCTACCTCTCTAGATCAAGGAGATTATGCTGTATCAATATTTTTAGATTTGAGTAAAGCATTAGATACCGTTAATCATTCGATTTTTTTATCCAAGCTATCGTTCTATGGCATTCAAAAACCTCATATCGACTGGTTCAAATCGTATCTCAATAAAAGAAAGCTAAGAGCTTTTGTAAATGGTAACATCTCTGACACCATGCCAATTTCTTCTGGTGTACCTCAAGGATCAATTTTAGGACCGTTGTTATTTTTGATATATATAAACGGCTTCCTGTGGTATCACACTGATCTTTTTGGTATATTTTCTTATTTATCCCCAGTTTATGGATGTGGTTTATTCAAAAGGGCCACCTCTTACAAACATATGGAGTATCAGTGCTGTTAGGTGTTGGTGGATCCACGCTTCCAGTTACTGCCCTGACAATGTTAGCAGATCTTATTGGGGAGAATGTGGTACGTGTGTTTGCCCGTTGAAGGCGTTGTGATAAGACGAGTAATAGGGAACTTAGATGAGTTACAGTTAAGACCCGCGATTAAGAACCTCGTTTTTTTAGAACCTGTCATGCTAAAGATTTGCCGGTTAGGCCCCCTCTATAGAAGAACCGGTTAACCCTAAAATTTGAAACAGTTTCTTGTTTTCTAAAATCTATGTTAAAAAAATCTTTACACTTGGGCAAACAAGATACGTCAACATTCAGTATCCTCTTTGGAGACGGGAGGGTGCTTATTACTCCAACTGCAATGTAATGGACTGTATGCAGGTTTTACATAAGGAGTGAGTTGAATACCACCAAATACTCTTAGCTAGAATGTATTCATTTCTTTTGAAAATAAGAACCTATTTAAGACCCTAAATAGCCTAAATTTTTGCTACTTACCATTTATGTAACAATCTGTTTAGGCTAACGTGAGAAAATGCAAGGTTCTTAGTCGTGGGTTTTTACTGTATGTTATGATGTTTTGCCACGAGAATCAAATATAAGCCTGACATAAAGGTTTAGTTTCATTTAAAATTACACTACAACTAAACCTCAACTAAATGTGCATGTCTTTGCCTTTCGATGGCCCGGATGGAAACGGATTGCAACTTGAAATATTTGCGCCAACGTTTTCAAGTTTAGCAAACTGATCATAGTTTGTTTTCCCTTTTGTGTTGTTCATATCCTTAGCATTACCTAACTTTGTAGACTATCTCATGAATGTATGGGTAACGACCGAATCAAAGTGTTTTGAATTCAGCATATTGCACATAAAATGTTCTAATATTGTTATTTCGGATTTGACAGGAAACAGGTGCCTTTGTGTATGGAGCCATGAGTTTTACCGATAAATTATCCAATGGAATCGCAGTTCAGCTGGTCCAGATATTTCATCCTTGCAATTCTTTGGGAGAGTAAGTATATATTTTTTTGACAACTTGCCGTTGTGAGTGAAAGCGGGTGTATACTCATGTGAACATATAACTGTATAATAGTTCAGAGGACAAATCGTAAATTGTAGTCAGTTAGACAGTCCATTTACTTAGAAGACCTAGGCAGAGGAAGCTATGGTACATGAGACAACGTTGTACCCTTTTTTTGTACGACAGAGTGAAAAGCAGTTTGTCGAATACTGTTTCCAACATTGTTCACGACACTTTTGCGATTTTTTTAACATTTTGTGCACGTTGAACACAGCATTGTCAACAACAGTTTGTACGTGTAATATTTTGCAGAACAATGCACATTTTTGAATTTTGCTCACATTTTGCGCAACACTGTAAACCACAGGTTGCAGACTATTATATACAATATAGTGCACAACATTTTTGCATAACTATGATTTGTGCGACACTGGATAACAGTGCGTGCAAGGTTGAGCGTATCATTGTCGACAACTGCTTGCACAACATTGTGTTTAACGTTTTTCAAACACGGCACAACATTGTGATAAACAGTTTGTATAACGTTGCGTGCAATGTAACGCATTGTGAATTCTGTTCACATTTTGCGCAACATTGTGAACCACAGGTTGCACATTACTATGTACAATATAGTATACAACATTTGTGCGACACTAAATAACACTGTGTGCAAGGTTGAGCGTAACATTGTCGACAATGGCTTTTACAACGTTGTGTTTAACGTTTTGCAAACACTGCATAACATTGTGATAAACAGTTTGTATAACGTCACGTGCAACGTAATGCATTGTGAATTTTGCACAATATTTTGTGCAACATTATGAAAAACAGTTTGTTGCACAAATATGTGAAGTACAGTGCACTACGTTTGTGCAAAATTTTACATGTATAGCATTGGGAGAAACGTTGACCTCAATATTGTCAAACGTGAACAATATAGTTCCAATAATTGTGTAACATTGTATAACGTTGGGCGTAACTTACTTTGTGAGCAACGTTGTCGCAAATCTGGTGTGCAATGTTTGCACAAAAGACCGGCTACATAGCTAACACTGCTTGAACGCAGCGCTGTACGCAACGAAATCAATGTACAAAAATGCGCGAAAGACTCCTGTGCGTAGCATTTTGCACATCATTTGCATCATCATATGAAAAAGGGCATTAAATTTTGCGATTTAAGCGTTCTCAATTTCATTTATTTTTTAAGAAAGTCTGGCCCTTTAAAATTTCTTGATAAACTGGAACAAGCAATGTATGCAATCTTTGCAAACCAAAGCTATTTCACAACTGAAGATACAAAATGGAGTTTACCAGTAAAGCCAGTTAGCAATTTGCTTATTTGTCAATACATGATCCTGTATATGCTGCGCTATTACAAGTTAATTTTGATTTGAATTTCCTATGTAGCTATTAAATTGCGCGGGTTTTTGATTTCGCGATTTTTTTTACAATTACGAACAACGCGAAAATATAAAGGGTTTAGTTTTATCATTTGTCTCACGATTGTCACTTTGATATTGATCACGACGTTTCGACCACACACTGCAGGTCTTCATCAGGTGATAGTGTTGATTTACTGAGTCGAACTATTTGTACCATCGTGGTTGTTAGTGATTGGTGTATCACAAACCTCGCTCATGATTGGTGGGTTTCGATCCAAAGAATTGTTGGCACTGTGAGAGGAAGTAACTGATCCCTCAGCGGTCCGCTGTGGTAGAGATCGGTTGCCATGTTGTCTGATTGTAGGTATCCACACGTAAGGAATTTCAATTCCACTGTCCCTGTTGATGTTTTATGACAACGCGAAAATGGTAACAAAAATGGCTTCTTGGACCAGTTGGTGAGTGTCCGTCTTGGAGAGGTTTTCGTTTTATAGAGTCAAAGACCCTAAAAAAGCGGGAACCGTTATTTTACTGTCAGTGTCCATGCATGGGAGTTTTTGACTATACTTATTTAGCTGGATGTCATGGGAAATCAACGAGTAATGGCAGTATGCAATGCCGTATACAGAACTGATGTAGCTCCAGCTAAACGAATGGTGCTTTTAATGTTGCTTGATCTTTCTTGCATTTTCGTTTTCATCCCAGTAAAAGCAAAGTTAATGCCATGGGATTGAGAATAAGGAGCTCTTCGATCATGGCTTGAAACTCCCGTCGTCTCTTGTCACCACCTTCTTTCCTTCAAGAAAGCCGCGTTTTTGGGTTACACCAGAAAGGGATGATAAACCATGCCCAACTCACTGTGCGGAGAAAAAAATGTTTTGGAAGTCGTTCAGCTGAGGTTGATGTTGATGAAAACGACTGTCCGATGTGAATGTGTTGGCTTTGAATCTGAACGTATTTGGTCTACCACGCCTTGACCACGAATCGCTTGGTTTCCTTGGACACGGAAACGTGTCATTACACGTTGTTGTTGTTTCTAGAGTGGCCATAATGGCACCTCGTCTCCGTGAAGTTATGACCCTGAGATTTTCCACCATTGAACTTTCCTAACATGGCGTTTTCTTGTAATGTCGCGCGGTTTCGACACATAGGGAATCGATGATTTCTAAATGCCGTTGAAGATTCATACTGTCCGCTATGAATTGACTTCAACTTCAACTCTTAGATAGATAGATAGATAGTTTATTAAAATATCGAACATGGCAGTCCGTAGACTGAATTGCGTTACAATTACTTAAAACTAAGAATAAATAAATTCCAAAAAAATAAATACTAATTGAAATTATAACAAAAAACATTTCTATGAAAAAAGCGAAAAACTCTCTAAATATAACTATGTACAAACTAGTCTAAAAATTTATGTACACATACTAGGAATAAAAGTGTTCTTAAAACGATTTGTATGTGTACAAGGCATGGCATAAGCCCTGGACTGTCTTAGATTATGTCTGTGTTCTCTCTTAGGAGGTAAGACAGGCACGAGTTTGTGATCCGGGCATGACGTGATAGACTCGAAAAGCTTGCTACACAGAGCCACGCGTCTAGCGTGCAAGGTTACTAAATCGAACCTGATCTTGTAATGTCTTTGACTTTCGATTTCATTTTTTCTTTCGGTCACATCATAGACAGCTCAGGTCAGGCCTCAGAGCTTAAAGGCCCTTAAACTAGGCAGGTCAGGATAATAAGGATAATTGTTATTTTATTTGGTAATTATTTTTTGTAATCTTGATGCTATTGATTCTGCTTGGCTGCACTTTGCTTGTAACCGCAAAACATATCTCACTGCTTCACAATATGCCTTCCTTTGCTATTTGCTGATCGTTGCTGCTTAACCGGCGCGTTTTTTGACTTCAATACATGTTGCATTTTGCTATTCTCATCCACTGATGTGGTTTTAGCCATGGAGGTATGCACAGTCCAGGGAGTGGAAACACCACAGCTTTGCCGACTGGAGTCGGTCATCATCATCATCCACACATGTACGAGTGTGAAATCAAAGCTCATTTTTACTTAATACTAGTTATTTTAATTTTTCCTCCGAATTTCCAGACCAGAATGATTCAGAACTGTAGTGAAAATTTTATGAAACAATTTCATAGATCTATTCCTTCAATATGAATCGCATACTGATTCATAACGCAAAGAAAATCGAGTTACCCGCGTGGACACGATTTAGGAAACGTAGTTGGGGAAAATTTGGAACAATGTGCGTATTGCTTGAACGTTCCCGGCTGCACCCCTGAAAACTCGCAATTGTCTTTTTTTAGGGACTGTTCATTTTTTTTTTTTTATCAGGTAGCGGGGGCGGGGGGTGGGGCATGAAAGAAATATGGCTTGAAAAGGGAGGTTAAAAGGAAGGAATATTGAGTTTAAAGGGGGGGTCGTCACCAAAAAATTTGTTCAAATTTTGCAGTGACGGCATTTGTAATAATGCAAACAGCCTACCAGAATGCCAAAAACCAGCGTACCTCACTAACATGCAGAAAAGCGTAAAAGAATACCAAATCGAACGTTTCATAAGGTAAAAATAACAAATTTTCATTTTTTTCTTTGTTCGGTCTCTCTTTCTTTCTTTTTTTTCTTTTCTCTTTTTTCTTTGGGGGGAGGGGGGAGAGGTCATCTCTATAAATTAGGGACACATTGGTGCGGGTGCGCCAAAAAAACTTCTCAAGAAGAGGGGGGGTCATCATATACTACAGGAGTTACCCGTCGAATCCCACCAGCCCCCCACCCCTCCCCCATTAAAAACGAACGGTCCCTCAGACTAAAATCATTCGGTAACTTCTCGTTATTTTAAACTGGACAAACCTCTCCTGCTAGTCTTTTGAAACTTGAACAAGTGTCTCTTTTCTTATGAAAGTTGCACGTCCGCTGGAATTACTTGATTCATTTTGTGCCCCATACAGACAAGGAGTAATGTTAGGCTATTTAAGGCAAATTTCGTAAAATTGAAACTAATCACAGGACAAATTGATTGCGAAGACGTGTCGCCGTTGTTAAGCGCGGGAAAACGCGCTTAAGTCACGATTGGTTTTAATGTGACTTTTGATTGGTTAAGTAACACGAGATTTTTCAGCCAATCACAAAACTTAGAAGTACAAGACAGAAAAAAAGAACGAAATTACTATTGCCTCGCAACTGAAAGCCGCTCTGTAAATCCCCAGAGTATTTAATAATCCAACTAAACTATATTTTTTTAGCGGCATGTATTTTCTGGCTTTTGTTGAGAGTGAAGATAACCAGTGGTGTTATTGAGGGTTTAAAGGGGCTATGCCACGAGGGTATTGCTCTTCTAGGTCAATTCTGTGATTAAGTCATTACTTCGTGCCTTTATCCTCCACACAACTGGACTTCCAACCTGTATAGGTACAAAAAAGATACCAAACAAATTTCCATCAAGGAGAGCTAACCATAATAATTGAAAATATTAATAATGATAATAATAGTAATAATAATAATAATAATAATAATAATAATAATAATAATAATAATAATAATAATAATAATAATAATAATAATAATAATTGGCTCATGTGTTTCAAGTTTCAATCCATGTCCATGCTGACCATCCGTAGCAACAGACGAACGACAGGAAACAGTTTCAATACCTACCGTAAATCCTACATTAAGCCCCCCTCTCTAATAAGCCCCCCCCCTTTCAGAGGAGAAAAGTGAATAAGCCCCCCTCCCCCTCCCCCCTCCCCCCATCCCCTATACTGAAAAGCAAGAACAGCTTCGCGCGACAGTGTGCAAAAAGTGGAAGAAATTTTTTTTTTACCTCAAGGTGAAAAAGAAGACACTTTTCAAGGACATACTGAGCTGTTATCTATCGGAATCAAGTTGTCTCAGTCAGTGTTACTGAACATTGAAACTTGAATATTTAAATATTTTAAATTAAAGATATTTCCTGACAGAATGCTAAAATGTTAATTTATTTATACGTAAAAAATAATGGGGAACTGAAAAAAAAATTATTTAGTTCACTAAATCAAAGAGAAATAGAATTAATTAGCTCTTTTGTCACGAGAATTGTAAGTGATAATGATAAAGACTTTAGTGAGACTACTTCAATTCTGTAAAATTTTTTGTAAATATTTTAAAGAAATGAGCTACTTTTTGAATAAAATGAACTTGACGATCTCAATTTGCAAGCTTCCTTCACCTTATAACGTTGTGCTGCAGCTTAGTGAGAAATACCTTAAAATGGCCACGGATAAGCAAGAATTGCGGACTGCATTATGATACCAATAATGTTGTGGAGTGTGGCCCTTTGTATATCGCAAATGGTGCAAGCGAAAATTAACTCTCACTGATTCCTTGTACTATAGCTTACGCTCATTGTCGGTTGAGATTCTAGTTTTTAAAATATATACTCATATTCCCTGTTCCACCATCTATATCTTAGGTGTTACGCGGTTTTACATTTATATGTGCCCTCCATGGTCTCTTTGCCGCTATAGTCGACCATAATCACCCGCGAACTGCCTCTATCCGATTATCAGACCTTATAAATGAGTCGAAAGAACAACAGTACATCTAGCCCGGAGGTTCTTTACTTAGTTTGCCTTTTGTGGTTCCCTGATTCCCCGGTTATACAATGGCTCAGCCTAGTTCCCAGGCGTTCTCGGCTCGACAACGGGGCAAGAGAGAACGCCTTGGGACTAGGCTGACAATGGCTGAAGCTGACTGGGAAGTTCCGGGATGATCTCTAGCTCTTACCACTCAGAGTTAACCCTATCTTCCACAAATTGTGATTCCTGCATGAAGGAAACAGATTCGATCGGTTAACGACCAGTTTTCTTCACAATAGCTTACTCAGTCTTCTCGCTGTTCAACAAAGTGGCGATAGTGGTGAGATCAGTTGCGGACTTTGCAAGTAAAAAGGGCGCTGTTTCGACTGTAAGAGATTTTTGCGTAGTAATTGTCTGAACGCTCAGGAGCCGGTTTGAGATGATGTGTTCCCAAGTTGTCAAACCAGTCGAACAGTTTCAAACGCTTGAAGTAGATCCCCAAAGAAATCTTAGGAACTGAACTAACCAGAACTAATATAGGGGTCCAGTGAGACTTGAGTGTTAATTCGAAAGGCGGCAGAGAACCCAAAGAGACCCACGCAGGCATACATACATACATACTTTATTGGCTCGTCCCCACGGGGCTTTTCAGAGTCAATTTTACATTACAAAATTATAAACCAAGTACATGACAATAAGAATATAACAATGATAAAAGAAGACAAAGGTCAATAAAATTAATTAAATTAATTAAATAAAGCAGTCATTAAGAAGCTTTTGCCTGAGTGAACACTTGAATTCCGTCACGGATGGGCTAAGTTTGAGCGCAGGCTGCAACTCATTCCAGAGAGAGGTTGCTCTATATTGAAAGGTCCTTTGGCCGCTGGCAGTGCGGAAGAGTGGTATGTTCAAAAGTTGAGAATTTCTCGTGTTCCTTGTCGAGACGGCGGATCTTCCAACGAGCTTTGATATCAAATACTCCGGAGCACAACTCGTCATGCACTTAAAAACCAGAACAGCAAAACGAAAATAAAGTTGTTGCCTGATTGGTAGCCAGCGCAAGTCTTTCAGCAAAGGAGTTATGTGATCGAATTTTTTAGCGCCGCTCAAAATACGACAAGCGAAATTCTGTACTGCTTGGAGCTTGTCCAGATTAGTTTGAGTAGTATTGCTCCAAACAGAAGAGCAATAGAATAATTTACTAAATACTAAGGCATTTATAATAATAATTAGCGCGTGTTTATTAAAAATATGCTTAACGCGGTTAATTTGGCCCAAACGTGACATGCATGAGGATACAGTAGAAACAATATGCTCATTATATGTTAAGTTAGAGTCCAGTGTGACACCAAGGTCTCTTGCAGCCTTAACGGGCTCGAGTTCCTTCCCCAATAGAAATAGCCTAAATTCGCTAACCTTAGCAGTCATTTGCCGGCTGCCGAATATCACTAGTTTTGTTTTATCTGGGTTGAGTAAAAGCTGATTATCAAAGCACCAATTCCTAATGCTTAACAAGTCCTTGTTCATTTTTTCTATCGTTTCGTGCTGATCGCGGAGTTGAAATGACATGAGAAGTTTGGTATCGTCGACGTAACACTGCGATGTACAATTTTCTGGCACAGAAGGGAGATCATTAACGTAGATGTTAAAGAGTAATGGGCCAAGGATGCTCCCTTGTGGAACGCCAGAGCTAACAGGTAGTTTGGTCGACAGAGTTGTATTTATTCGCACAAATTGGTATCGCGAGGTTAAATAGCTTCCGAGCCATTTTATCGCAGGTCTGGACGCACCAATGTCCTGTAACTTAGCGAGGAGTATTTGATGGTCAATACTGTCGAAAGCTTTGCTTAGATCAAGAAGGACAACTGCAGTCAGTTTCTTTTTGTCAATGGCATTTAGGATTTCGTCAGTTGTTTGAATGACAGATGTTTCCGTTGAATGCCACTGTTTATTTCCGCTTTGTTTGGATGATAAACGGCCTCTCGAAAGTAGATATGACGTAAGTTGATTGTGAGCGACACGTTCACAGACTTTAGAAAGGACAGGGAGTAATGAAATCGGTCTATTATTGTTTGGAATATCGTGGTCTCCAGCCTTGAGTATCGGTGTCACTTCAGCTGTTTTCCAGGCCAAAGGGAAGGTGTCAAACTCAAAGGTAGCATTAATAATAGACGTTAACGATGGCAAGATAGCAGGCAAACAATCTTTGATCACATGGATTGGGATTTTATCAATCCCAGGGGCCTTACCACTCGCCATTGAAGTGACAAAAAGGCGGAGGAGACCTTTATGAGATGAAAGCCGAGATGAGCGCATTGTAGCTTGCAGTGTTGGTGTATGTTTTCGGGCGCCCAAGCGCTCAGTTTTTAAAAGTAGAGGCAGATTTGGTTGGGAGAAATGAGAGGGGAGGGGGAGAAAAACTTCATGCAGGAAAATCTAATGGGATTAGAGTGCTCTCCAATCCCCCTCCCCCCCCGGAAAACACCTGCACACAGGCCTTGAATGTACGTTCGTTATGTCAATCACTAGTTACTAGCTCTCGGTGAAAGGACCCTGGGAACGAGGTCTTCTCTGTACCGTAAAATTGACGCCCACTCCCAAATAAACGCCTCTTATCTAATAAACACGCCCTCTACGCTGTTAAAATTTTATTAGACGCCCTTCTCTAATAAACACTCCCGTCTAATAGACTGCCCCCTATGAGAATTACTCCAAAATACAAGGAGTTAGGAAAAGCAGCAAAATCATTCAATTCATTCAGTTTCTTGCTTGATTAACGAGGCTTTGTGTATTTTATCCTGTTCAATGTTAAGTCGGTTGGTTTTTCATTTAGAGACGCTTTGTGGTTTTCGCAGTGATTTTGTTTATGCGAAGTTTTATGAGGTCAATATTATAATTCGAGCTTCTTGCTATTTTCACCGTCAAGTGTAATGATTCTGTTAGCTTTCCTTTCTTGTTTCATTGTTTTCTTTTTTCTTTGTTAAGGACCAAATAGCTTCTTTTCAATTAAAGGAAATTGTTGTGTTTTTGAACTAAGTGTTCCGTATGTTACCCTAAAATGGAGATTTCTTATTTTAAGAAAAAATTTAAAACTAATCACAGAATAAGATTTTGTTCTCCTAAATTCAAATCTACCTGTTTAAATTACAGAAAAAAGAGTTCTTATCCTATGATTTGTTTTAAATTATCGTGAAATAAGAAAACGTTTTCTTAAATTGAGAGATGTGTATTTATTTCTTTGCGTGATTGCGACCGAGTTTGATTATTGAATTACAATAGGTTCAGAGTTATTCACTACTGCATGCAGTTGATAGTTTGAACGTTTAACGTGAATTACGATCGAAAAGAGAAAAGCAATTCTGTATCCTGTAGACATTTCCACACGATATTTCTTCGTTTGCCACTTGAAAATCGTGCTTTACTTTTTGTATGAATTAAAGCAAAGTAGTAGTGACGGCACTGACGGCCGGTCGATTCAGACGTCACTGAGGGAGCTAATAACGACTCGAAGTAATCGGATGAAATTCAGGCTAATTAAAAGGCTTCCTACAAAACAAACAAAAACAAAATATAATAATAAAAAAAAACAGAAGGACACTAGGCCTATACATTACTTACTCTTTTCTCAAGTTTGATTCGTAGCACTGAGGTGGTCAAACTATCAAAACGTTTTTGTGTTAAAACAAGAAAGCTTTTTTTTCGTTTATTATTATATTTTTATTAATTTTCTGGGCGCTTATTGTAGTAGGCAACTCGTGTTGATAATCATGTTTTCGTAGTGCCGCTAGCCTGAGATCGCTATTATCCTTCTATGTCCAGAAATAGTTATGTACCCTCAACAGAAAGACACCCGATCTAGTTAAAGTAGCAAGTAAAGAGCATAAACGAAAGGACAGCATTTTTTTAGTGTAACCGCCATTTTATTTTTGATTTTAATTAAACTATTTTCAATCTAGATCAGCTTCATTTGACAAACAATTCTTACTACAAGAAGTGCGCAACCCATCCTTGCCCAAAATCGTTTCTTAGTTTTGATTTATGTCGTGTTATTTAGGTTATTTAATGGCATTACAGCAAAGTGCTCTACTATATTTGACTCAAGGGACGCAAGTCACCCAATTTGCTTTTTCTTGCAAAGGATAACTGGAGCGTACCTCCAATGCTTTGCCGGATCGAGATCGCAAGGTATGTCGTTCCACTTGCCTCCATAGCGGTGTGGCGAGCCAAACATGTTTCCACACTTTTCGATCACCTTGTTTGGTTCGCCGCGTGCCCAAGCCGTGTAACCTTTTGCCAGTGGAGTGTCATCAATCCAGTAGAACTTGTTGTCCGCCTTGCGGACAAAACCAAGCCACACACCCCCATCGGTGATGGTTTTCTGTTTCTTGAATAAGGTGAATATGAAGTTATCCTCATCCGCTGATTTTATTATGGCGAGGTCTCCTCCAAGCATCTGACATGTTCGTCGTGCATCGCTCCATTTTAGGGTTCGAATGTCGATGATGAGGTAGCCGAAGTTTCCGTAGCGGACCCAACCATCTTGCGGACAAACTGAAAGTAAGAAAATTTTTCAGTTGATTAATAAGCCTCAAACATTAAGTCGCTCTAATAATAAGCCTCGAACAATTAGTCGCTTCTTTAGTTAACTAAAAGTTTGATTAAATTGCAAGAGTTTACACCTTTAGCGCACTGTAATTTTCAGGGAGTTCTAATAACTCCTCTAGTGGGGTTAATTTAACTCCTTACAGTGGAGTTATTTTTCGTGGAGTTATTTTAACTCCAAAAAGGAGTTTAAAGAACTCTTTTTCAGGAGTAAAAGTGACCCCAGGTATTGAGGAGTTAAAATAACCCCCAAAAAGGAGTTATCCTGTACCTAAAATTTTTACTCCACTTTCAGAGTTAAAGTAACTCCAAAAAGAGTAAAAACAACCCCTGTAAGGAGTACAAGTAACCCCATTTCGGAGTAATTTTAACTCCAGACTGGGAGTAAAAAGAACTCTTTTTCAGGAGTAAAAATGACCCCAAATTCGGAGTTAAATTAGGAGTTAAAATAACCCCCCAAAAGGGGTTATCCTGTACCTAGAATTTTTACTCCATTTTTGGAGTTATAATAACTCCCTAAAAATTACGGTGCGCTTGTCGATTTCTGGTATAGGTAGTCAATTTCGTACTTCATCTCGGTTAGCAGTTTTCGATCAGCTTTTTCTAGGTCCCAGTTGTTGATGTTAAATGTTTGATTGATCGGTTGAGGCTTTTTGTGAACTGTAAACGCCGGTGATTTTGTGAAATCGGAAGTTTTAGGTTTGCCTTTAGCAAAAGTGCTTGAAAGAAGGATAAAAACAATGACGATGAAACTCGATTTTCCAAACATGGTTGAAGTCCTCTCGGATCCAAAAAAGTGTGAAACCTCTTCGTGTAAACCTCGAGAAATGAAAGTCAAGTTTTGTTGAGTAAGTCTACTTGATGAATCATCAGTATGTCTAGGCTTTTATGGTCCTCGCTGACTCTTAACAAGAACAAATTTCGCGTCGCAGCTTATCAAAACAATGATTGCGGTGCTAAAAACAGATTCAGTTATAGATAGTCAATAGACATTCAGTCTACTGTAATCCTCATATGGATGAGATGTTGAAATGTATCAGGGCAGTATAGGCCTCATATCCTGTGCTAAACTTACTAGAAATTGCCACGATATGTTTAAGTGTATTTTTAAAAGTTGTTTTTTTAACAATGCTCTTAAAACGAAAACACTTTAACACTTTAACACTTTTATTTACTAAAATGTACAGATTGAAGCGACTTTCAGGACTTTGCCAGCAGGGTATTTGGATTGTTATTGTGCTTTCAAAGTTAAATACAGAGTAACTACAAAGCAGTCATTTAGTGGCGACCGCATAATTTTTTAAATTTGTATTAAACTTACATTCGACCGCTACTTACCATACGAAAGCCGATCCGATCCGTCGATACTAAAATGCGCAGATCCAAGCTACTCTGCTAGAAGGGTAGTTGGATTGTTATTGTACATTCAAAAGTTGTGTACCCGATACGTTGAGTCTTAAGAATTTTTACATGGCTATTGCATTCTTTTCTGTTGTTGGTTTTCCGTGTTCGATAGGAACTATTATATAAAGAAGGTGTAGCTAAGCTTACTACAGGCCGGGAAAAAAATCGTCAAACAGCGACGATTGAAGTCGTGTGTACGTGTATCACACAGCCCAATTTACCGCGGCACACGCCGTGAAGGATAAAAAGGCTGCATATTTTTACAGTAAAAAATCTATTCGCTCTCCAAAACACAGATATCTTAGTAACACACAATACCAAAATGGACAAGCAATAAAACTCTTTACTATCGCAGCGATAGAGTTGAATTTTATGAAAGAATCGTGGGATTTGTGAGAAAAAGAGTTCTAAACGTTTTCTTCGAATTCTGAAACGATTCGTTGAATTTTTGGGTTGTGTCCATACCCAGTTGTTGTGTCTATACCCTGCGAATTTCCATTCGCACTTCCAGTTGTAGATAGCCTCTCTTATTTTGTTGTTTGAATTTGCACAACTCCAAATTTCAAAATCAAAACGGTTTTGACACGGCCTGGCAAGCTACCAAAAGCCACAACATAAATAAAGGAAAAATCCTTGATTTGTTGTAGCAGAAGTAAGCTCTGGCCATTGTGCTATTTCTTCGCCTTAGATACTGCAGACGCTCGAGAAACGATATGTTCACTGATGGTTTTTCCGTCCTTACCAGGTGTTAAATTCCCACGCAAAGTACCTTTTTGAGTAGAATGAGTCAGGTGCAACTGCAGTTTTAATAATATTAATAATAATAATAATTATGCTCTTACAAGTTATAAATAAAAATAAATATGATCATGGTACTAACAGTCGCATAATAAAATTGGATAATAAATAGAAACCTGTATAATATTTCTGTTTATTTCTGACAACAATAGTAAATAGATACAATTATTCACCGAAGTGGAGGTGGCTAGTCGTATTTATCGAACTGCGAATAGTGCAGGATATTAACTGATTGAGTAGCCAATCAGAGCGCGCGAAAAACACTATCCATTGTTTTAGTATATTATATATGAAAAAATATAAACAAAATAAAACCTACAGTTCTCATAAATCCCAAATAGGAATGTTTCTAGGGCAGATTTAAAGGACGAGAATGAGTCTGCATTTTTAAGAGAATCGGCAAGAGTATTCCATAATGTAGGTGCACAGAGGAAAACGCACGTTCACCGTATGTCACAGAGTTCACAGTGGGGACAGTAAAAGTGATTTGGAGGATGAACGAAGACTTCGTGGTGGACAATATTCTTGTAACAGGGACGTCAAATAGCCCCCCGGAGTAGCTAGTCAATCGATAAAAATCGGTAGCAATCAAGTGATTTTTATGGATTGATAACGGAAATCGGTGAAAACCGATGAACTGAATTGCTGTGTCAAATCGATATTATCGATTTTTCATGGTTTTAATGATTTGTAACAGAAGTCCGCCATTGTGTTTTTTTGGTACGAGTTAGATAGTACAGCTAAAGAAACTCATCCACGAGTAACAACTGATCAACAAACCTGCCGGAAAACGAGAAATGTGGAAACTATTAAACACACAACTTTCTCTCTATAACCCTTTATTTTGCGTATAATACTAACAAAATCGGTTCGGTTTTTAACCAGTTCTCGCAGGCAAGTATCACGAGAAATACATCCTTAGGTAATCATTAATAAAGATTTCCTAGCCTGAATTTCAGACAGTGCTTCGAGTTGGGATTCAGGCGAAACGATTTTCCTCGATAGATTTTCACTGTTTCCCGATATCAGTTGATAACAATCACTTGATTGCTAACGAGTTTTATCGATTTCGATTTTCATCTATTGACTACTCCGGGTCCTCCGGGATGTAACTGCACCAGGATCTACACAGACGTTATATTGAAGGGTGGCAATATAAATCCCGAAAAACTGGGCGCCTACAGACCTGGCCAATATCAGCCATCAGAAACCGATTGTAAAACCTGATTTTAAAGGAAAAATATTAATGTTTTTAAAGATTTCTCTATAAGTGATAATGTTTCATAAACAATATAATGTGATAAATGTTTGATTCTTTGACTCTCAACTGCCACCCATTGTCAATAAATTTACTGTTTGCATGAGTTCAGTTTTCGATTTTTGATCAACAGATGTTTCTTCCGATATGAATATATGAAATCAGTAGAAATCAAGATAAATTGATTAAAAACACTAGTGTGTCATCGATTTCTACCGATTGATCGATACAATCGATATCAACCAGATCAGATTTACCGATTTTCATCGATTTATCGATTGACTACTCCGGGATAGCCCTGAGAAGGTCCGTCAAGAATCTTGAAAGTAATGAGAATAACATTGAATATTTTACGTGATTCAACTGGCAGTCTGAGTAGCTCACGAAGAGCAGGTGTGATGAGTTCATGTTGTTTAGTTCCAGTAATAAGACGTGCTGCAGTGTTTTGAATTCTTTTAAGTTTGTCAGGGTCTTGTTCAAGACTAAGACCATAACGGATACTGTTACAGAAATCCCAACGTGAAAGAGCATTGACTAACAGTTTTGAAGTTTCCGTTAGTGAGGTATTTGCGAATGTGCCCTATGGACCTTATGGCATTGACGGCTTTTCTGCATGTCTCGTTTATGCAGTTTGCCAGTGTTAGGTTTTTGTCTAAACTCCAAGATGACGAACTCTATCAGTTTGTTCAGTGACGGTACTGTTATAATAATTGTTAGCTATGAATTAAGAAAAGCCGAAATTAGGAACGTCGTAAAAATGAATGCCACCTTTTGAAATAAGAAAATTCCCAATACAGTGCAGTGGAACCCGGTTAATACAAACACCAAGGGAACATGCAATACTACCCGTATTATTCTAGTGTACGTATTAAGGGGGCATTCAGAAAAAGAGTGTCATGGATTCATGTTTTATCGATATAGAGACTAAAGCAGACATTTTTACGAGAAGACGTTATTTCATTTCATGCCAGTAATGGTAACAAGTTAATAGTAAAGAAACTTCACGCTCAGTTATCATAGTCTCGGACTAAAACTACTTCTTTGACTGATCAACAGTTGAATCTTTGACTTAAAGTTGTACTGACACTTTTCGTTTGCGTCTAGGTGGACTGAACATAAGAGAGAACTTTTAAAGGTAATTCGCTGTTTCTATAATAGGTTTTCACCGGTAAGATATTCGGTCATGGACAGCGCGCAGATAGACAGTATCCATAGAGCGGGTTTTAAAATATATGAGACCTGTGACACGGGACACAGAGGAAAGTGTCCGTTGTCCGTATTAAGCTGGTTAATTTTGAATTGCAGACAGCATGATGATACAGATAAATGTTGTGTGGTGTAGCCCTTTTTACATCGCAAATAGTGGGAGAAAAAATCAATTCCCACAGATTCCTTGTACTAAGGCTTACGTTCATTGTCGTTTGATATTCTAA